GCCAGCACGAACAAGCGGAGGAACCTGAACTCGAATCCACATAAGAAAAAAAAAAAAAAAAAAAAAAAAAAAAAAAAAAAAAAAAAAAAAAAAAAAAAAATAGGGGCAAAGAAAGACGAGTTACCAACGCATCAGCCCGAGGAGTTGCCCCAACTCCAACATCGGGAGCAACGACCATCGAACTCGCGATTAGCCATACAAGCAGATTTCACGCTGAATCCTGACTTGCCTCAAGAAATAGATAGTCTCCACGATGAAGCGGAATCCTCCCGCCATCGCCGCTGATCTCACTTACCATCTCCCTCTTCTGCCGCCCCCTACACACTTTAACCCCGTCCTCCTCCCTACACGAGCGCTCCGTCCATGTCTCGTCTTTCGTCGCTCTCTTGATTACCTTTCCTTCTCCCCATTCTCCCACATCGAATTTCCACTCGATTATTGTATCTTGGCCAATAAACTCTTTTATCACCACTGTTCAGTCCGCCTGGTGTGCAAAGTTCACCCCCATGCCGCTTTATCCTTTCCCCTCAATATTCTCCTTTTTAGTGTTGCATGGAGGCAGTACAACCATATGGAGTTGTATTGCATCATCTTCGGAACCTTCCCTGTCGTGAAAGACTATGAGTCTACGTGCGATAATACCCTGCGCACGATTTTCACTCTCTACGCTGAATATCTTGTTCCCCTTCCCCGACCCAATCATCGATTCCCTCGTGCTCACTAGATTGTCCATTTTGTCGATCTCGGTGACGAACCCAACGATTACTTTCCCCTCCTCCCTTCGCAATGTCCCCGACCCCCTCCCTCTTTGTTCCTAGTTAATTACAATCGAGCGGAGCATAAGTAAACCTGCGATCACCAGTAAAGCGGATCCATACCTTGATGATGTCATCTGGAAGACATTCACACGTTCAAGGTCCCGATCTCCTTTCTTGCAGTGGTGGAGGATTGTCCACAAGACACGATGATAACCGTCTTACAAGGATATTGCAATTGAAGTTGGCATCAACATATGATTCGCTCTAACCTCTGACATCGTTTCAATGAGATGGCATGCGCTTTCTTCGACTTTTTGATATATTGGGTCCCTTTCTTTCCCTACTCCTTTTCATGTAAATTAGTCTTTCTAACTTTCGTGCATGCCATCAGGAGATAGCATGATTTTGGAACCCCGTGAACATCACATAGGTGATTTACCAACTCTGTACTTCAACGAACTTCCAAAGCCCCGAGTTTTGTCATCGGTGTTTTTTCGATCTCTAACATGTTTCGGGGGGGTACCCCTCTTTTTGGTTGCAGGTATGCATGGAATCAACGGTCGACGAAGCCCTCCTACTTTGTAAAACTTGTTGTTTTTCTTTCTAAGGCTTTTTTCACAAATTTTTCCCGGCGATCCATGAATTTACATAGGACTTACGTGCGCCTTAGTAAGTGTGCTAAGAGTTTTGATGGGCAGTTGAAAATTTCAGAATTTGTGGTTGCTCTTCCCGCTGACGTGTCCTTTCTTGCAAATGAATGTTCCTAAATTCGCCCTTGAATGCTTTGTAAATTTTCAGTAGGATCGGAATAGAAGCAAAATTTTTCTTGCGCCCAATCTCGGACGTGGATATCATTTTAAAAATTTTCAATCTTGAATTAGTTTTGAAGCTAGGATGGACGAAACATACTGTTTTTGTGCCTTTTTGTTTCTGTGTCGACGCCATGTATGCAAACTTTCCTTGCTTCCTACTATCCCCACAATATCTTCACCTCTTTCTTCTTCACGTCTTCTTTCCTCAATTTGTAACTTTTTTTCATCTCCTCTGCTTACGTGCTTGTCTCCCGCTCCTTTTCGTCTGAATCTTGGTCCTGCTCCACATTACTGTTTGCGCTCTCCTTCTTTCGACCCTTAGGAACTCCCTATTGCTCCCTCTCCTTCAGGGTACTCAAGCCATCAGGCAACATCTGGTAAGGAGGATACTCCCCTCACGTTGTAATTTGTTTGGCTGCGAAGGAACCCGCGATGATCGATATGGCTTTCCCCGAGCGATTTACCCGAACTTTCCCTTCGGTCCTTCCTACCTCCGCCCCGTTCCTTCCTATCTTCTATCCCCCTCTTCGCAACCATAAAATCTACAAGCGTGTCCGAAAAACTCTCTCTCAACATATCTTCAGCTTCTAGGAAGTCGTGGCTAGATGATGTGTATGTATGGTGAGTCGAAAAGTCCCAACGAGCTGACTGTACTTTTGCAAGGTTGTGCGCTGGGTGGCCGCGACGGACTGCGGGATCTGGGCAAGTTTGTGTAGAAGTTGAGTTGGTGGGGTGACGATCGCTGTGGTGTGAGTTTTGTATGTGGCGGTCGGGAGTACCATTACCAGTGTAAGGAAGGTGTGTGTGTATGAGTGGTTGTATGACCTAAGGCCATAGTCAGAGAGCAGAAGGTTTGCACGCTTTTGATCTTCGGTTTCTCCTCTTCTTCTATTGGAAACTATTTTATGGCGGATTGTCGGTTTTTATTCTCACATCTATATGTGTGCTCATAACTCCTTCTTTGTCTTTAGTCCCCTTCTTCGGTCAAGCTACGGCTCCGTCTACCTTCTTCGACCTCATCTTTCCCCTCTCTCTCTCTCTCTCTTTATATTTTTTGCATGAATGTTTTGATAACTCCCTCGTCCTTATCAACTCCCGAGGTCATGTCCTACTCATCTCGTTGATTCAATCGGATCTCACGAGGATGAGTATCGTTGAATCTGAAGAGACCAGCGAAAACAAGCGATTTTATTTTGTCTCTCTCTCTGCTCCTAGGTATTCGATGAAGAGACCAGTGAGAACGAGCGATCTTATTTCGTCTCTCTCTTTGCTCCTAGGTATTCGATGGTTAATGCATGAGTGATCTCGCACACATATGTATCGATTGATTTATTACCCTGACGACGAAAACAAAGTAGAAATTTGATGTGATCACTTCGATGCATGCTTAGCTATTCACACGAATGAAGAATGGTTGTTCTCTCGACTGATTGGATTGCATGGACTTAAGCTTTGGATTGGTTTGCACAACGGGTGAAAATAATGTATGACATGGTGTTTATTTGTTCCTTTGATCAAATAACTGATTGATTAGATGTACGCGATCATCCTTGTTTATGCAATGTGGACCAATTGCCTCGATCCGAGTGGGCGTCGACTTCCCGTATCCTGGCCATGCCCGTTCCCGTACAACGAGGAAAGGACACGTGTATGTGAGTGGAACGTGCGAGAAGTCGTCGCCAAGATCGGTGGGTACTAATATTTCCTTCCCGAAACAAGATGCTCAGGATTCATAGGCGCTGGTTTTGTCACTATTGATACTCACTTTCCCCCGTACTCATTGTTATTGCCTTTTAATGAGTTGATTGTCATCCCGTGGACGGCGGTGACACCTCATTGGCCCAACACTTTGTGTAACAATTGTCCCCGCACAGAGCGTTATTGGGAAAAGGGGTTCCACTATCGGACACATAGCGAGGACGAATACACCAGATTGAGACCATCCACGTGGGATTCGAACTTTCTAACAAACGGCGCCGGGACTTGATTAAAAGATGAGATCCCAGGTGCGTACCCCTGTGGTTTAAGCTGCAGGCCGTGGAACCTAGCTCGGTTCCTGAAACTTGTGACACTCCCTCCTGCTCCACATACCACGAGCTACAGCCTCCCCACTGTGGAATGCAAGATCGAGCATCCAGGTCCTTTTTTTCCTTCTTATTATCGAAAAACATCACCTTGCAAGGCCACTATCCCAGTGGTGGTGAGAGAACCACCGGAATTGAGGCCTTGCTGAGTGGATGGCTTCAGTCTATTTGTGGGAAACAACACCTGCTGGAAACCGGGTCCAGGATCCCTTTGACAACCTAACACGTGACTGGGACCTGCATCCCTTTACAGACAGCAGTTTCCTGGGAATGCTTGGCACCTGCTATCTAGAGATAGCCATCAGCATTGAGCAGAGACTGCTGATGTTTGTAGACGGAGGGGACGCGAGGGGAAGCGCAGGGAGTGGTCCAGTTGTCATGGTCTCTGATGCTACGGGCTGTATCGTCCTCCTGCAGGTCGGGTGCAGCCCCAGCACGTTCCCTCGTTGGAGGCTTGAACACGGATGTGGCTGCTACTGGGTTCCCATAATCGTATGATGAAGCATTGATGATAATACAAAGGGAAAATTGCATCTGTACCCCACTTAAAGATGGGAATACCTGCTATACCCAGTTGCAGCCCCAACTTGCACCTATACCCGGAAAACTGCGGTGGGAATTATTTGCATGCCCAGGACAGAGGTGGACCCAGGTTGGTACCCCGGAATGCACAAATTATGGACATACCCAGGCAAAATTATGGGCATATCCAGGACTGAGGTGGACTGGCCAAATTACTCATGTACCCTACCACCGGATGGCTGAAATTATGTTCATACCCAGCATCCGCTGGGCCACAAGGGTCCACGTGGTGGGCATAACCACAATTTTGTGGTCTACCATCCAAGGCCAGGCCTTGGCTGTGTGTAAACCCGGAATTTTGCCAGCCCGTTTCTTTTTTTTTTTTTTTTTTTTTTTGAGGCCAGCCAGTTTCTGGGCATGGGCATGGGCATAATTTTGTTGCCAGGAAACTGAGGGCCTGCGGAACTGGGTATATGCCTACAATCTCGCACTGGGGAAAAGTTCCGGTACTACGCGAAGTTGAACGTCGTCCGGGTACAGATGCCATATAGCGGGTACTCCCATCTATTACGTGGGATACAGATGCAATTTCCCCTAACCTAATAAAAAAGGTCTGAAAGGACGTCCTGTCGAGATTCGACAGAGAATTGAGAAAACCACCTCGCCAGTCAGGTAGATCCTCGCGATCAGGTATCAACATTTTATGAAGGCTCTCTTGGGTTTTGAGCTTGGGGGGCTCCCCGCCCTCCATTCGGCTCGACCACCACCCGACCGCCGGTCGGGACACGATGTCGAAGCGCCACGTTGCGACTCTTGGAGGCGATCGGCACCGGTATGGTTACGCGGGAGTGATTGCGCACCGACCGCTGACGTAGCGAATTTCTTGCCCTCCGAAGCTCTCGCAATCATGGACCAGGAAAGAGAGCGAAGGGTTGTGTGAGAAGGGACTCCGGCGGTTCTTTTGTTGTACTGAACTTCACGGTTGGGGAGTCCGGTCAGATAAAGTACATGTTGATCAATTAGGTGAGAGTTCGGACCTTTTTTTTTTTTTTCCCCTTTTTTTGGGACTTGCGTTTTATCGTACGTACTCGTCGAAAGTTCGCACCTCGTCGACGACAGGGAATGCGGCGCTCTGGCTGTACGTTGTAGTCAATGAGATTAAGAAATCAACTGCTGCCGTTTTTCTATCGGCAAATAGAACAAATTGAAAAACAACTATGCGGTTCCCGCCGTGATCCACGAACGAAAACACTCCTCTCCCTTCCCGCACCTCAACCCGCCCGTGAACAAACCGACGTCACGGGTTATATCTGGGCTGGACTATTCCGAGCGCTTGGATTGTCCTTTGCCAGCCCCCCCCCCCCTCCCCGTCGACACGGTTCATCACCCCTAGACTGTGATTGATGACCGAACAGCTCAAACACTGTCGATTATTGTTCCCGCATTGTGGATCTGTGTGTGTGTGTGTGTGTGTGTGTGTGTGTGTGAGAGAGAGAGAGAGAGAGAGAGAGAGAGAGAGAGAGAGAGAGAGAGAGAGAGAGAGATGATCTGTGTCTTAGTTGCCCTGACTTCTGTTCGGGGTAGTATTTCATTGCATCGTTGTCCTCTGTAACCTTCTTGATGTGCTCGTCCTTACCCGACTTTCATTGTAGCGACCGTACGACTTTGTGTTTGTCGTTAATCTTATTTAAACCTCCCTCGTTCCCGCCTTCTCTTTTTTCAGTTTCTGCCAGTCTTCGGCTACAGCAAGGGGAACGGGTACCATCAGGTGTGGAGTGGTGTCTAAACCGCGGGTTCGCACCTGGTGGCCTCCCTGTAGGCTTAACGGTGGCAATCCGTGTTCGACCTTAAAACCAGTTCTCACCTGTTCTGTTTGGCCTAACTACCGTCTTCACCCGAATAGAACGCCCGGTCATCATCGCTGGATCTGGACTGAAAGTTGGGCCAAATGCAGCTATAATGACCGGGCGTTCTATTCGGGTGAAGACGGTAGCCGTAACCAGGGGTTCGCTGTCTAAATAAGGGGTCTGCACACTCACCCGTTCTGTTTGGCCTAACGAGCAGTAACCAGGGGTCCGTACCTGGTTGACGAAACCAGGGATTGAGCCTTAAACCCGAGTAGAGGCGGGTTTAAGCCTTAAACCAGCTGACAGTGTGCTTAGCGATCGGCAGTTGGTTCCATTATTTCTTGGACCAGGTTTGTACCTACTTCGAACCAGCTTCCTTTTCTTTCCTCTTTGCTTCATTTTCGTTCCAAGTTGTTTAACTCAATCAATCAATCAAGCAATCAATCCATTCTTGGACCAGGTTTGTACTGACTTGTTGGTTATGAAACGTCCTGCTTTTGTTGCGGCGTCCATCGCCGTCATGAACCTAGCTGTCGTAGGGCTATGATGGTGATGGAGGTATCTGCCCACCTTATTGGGCACATTCTTGTTTGACGCTCACGTTGGGTCCCGAATACGCAAGAACATGGGCGTGGCTGCTGTTTTGAGCGACGCCTTGACCTCGACCGCTGATTCGCCACGACGTGGGGATGCCAACCTCCACAAACGCTTCTTCCTGACTTGCGCACTCTTATCGTCAACTTCCCATCATGGTCAGAGTTCCACTCTCTATTCAGTACACTATGCCCGAATTAGATCACGACCTTCTCTCTCTCTCTCTCTCTCTCTCTCTCTCTCTCTCTCTCTGTGTGAGTGGTGCCAAGTGCGCACAGGCGCCATGTGGCGTAGCTCTGCAACTCGCTACCTGTATTTTTTCTTCTTCTTTGTTTACTAACTCGCTACGTTCTGGTTTGTATGGGATTCCTTCAGGAACGGAAAAAAAAAAAAAAAAGAGAGAGAAAAGGGGAAGAAAGGGAGAAAAAGGGGGGGGGGGGGGTGGGTTGTGCGCGAGCTGCGAATGCTGGGTTTTGCGTTTCTTTTTTGGGTCCGTTAGCTTCTTGCCTAATTTTTTGCCCCGAACTCAGCTATAATGACCGTGCGTTCTATTCGGAGGAAGACGGTAGGTTCTCGCGTTTTGTCCGTCTGTGGGCACGGTGCCACTTCCTGGCCTGGAGACTTCCTTTCGCTTCTGGCCGTCGATCGTCGTTATCTGTGGTCAGAAACGAAGGTTTTAGGGGTAGGTAGGGGGACCTCGTTCCCTGTGTTTGCTGTTTTGATGCGAAGGTCCATTTTTCGATTTACTATGTATGTCGTCCTTGAATGCGCAGGGTGCCATGGTGATCCAGCTCTTCTGATATCGTTCCAATTTAACCGATGTGCCGAAGGACGTGATGTGAAGCTACGCGGCGCAGCAATAAAATGAAACAAAAGAAGGAAAAAAGAAAACGAGACTACGCAGTACTGATGTTGAAAGGGCGCAGCCGCGAACCTTATTGAATTTGTCTTATGTGATTCCATGAGAATTCGAACTCACCAGCAGCCCTAGCTCAGTTGGTACACCCCTGAACTGTTGAAATGCAGACTCAAGTTCGAATCCAGATGCCCTCAAATGTAGAGAGTAAAATCATTCTGAATTGCCTGGGGTCGGTCAGTTCAATGATGATATCTCAAGGCTGTCGCCCTTTTTTTTTAAAAAAAAAAGAAACAAAAAAAGAAAAAAAGAATTCGAACTCACCAGCAGGCCTAGCTCAGTTGGTACACCCCTGAACTGTTGAAATGCAAAAGTAGAAGAGTTCGAACTCCACTCAATGCGGATGAGTAAAATATTGATTGGAATGGGGAATACCAGGGCCAGTCAGTTCGACAATGATATCTCAAGGCTGTGACCCTGT